CTCCCAGCCGACTGCAGAACTGGAAGAGGGGCCCGGTCGCGCTGTTTAAGCGCCACAGCGCCCGACCGGGCCCCTGCTGACACATGCTCCCCGGGTGGCCCTTAGTGCATGGGCCACCCGGGGAGCCTCCTCAGTGTGCGGGAGCCGCACCGCCCGGTCCATAGGGGCTGCGCAAATCGCGGGGCCCACAGACCAGCTGCTCTGGGCCCCCCAGGAGCAACTGGGCCCGGGGCAGCTGCCCCGTTTGCCCCGCGTTAAAGACGGCCGTGGCTGTTGAATACTTTCAGTCTGAACTCCTACAAATTTGGAATTTGCATGCCCCGCTGCATAAGGTGAGGGTAAAAGGAGCACATATGAACTGGATCACAGTTTTCAGTTGAACTGGATCACGAATTTCAATTTCAAATGTAACATGCTATATTTGACCCTGTAACTTCCCAAAATGCCATAAAAACCTGTACATAGGGGGTACTGTTTTACACATGAGACTTTGCTGAATACAAATATGTGTATTTTATAGCAGTAAAAGCAAACAGTATTATGACATTGACAGTTAAAATGTCATGTAGAACAAAAAAAAATTATTTTCTCCCATTTCTTTCATATTAAATTATGTTTCATAGCTAAATATTTGATATTAAATGAAAGCCCTGTTTCCCCTGAATAAAATGATATATAATAAGGGTGGGTGCAATTAATATGAAAGAGGTGAATTACGGTTAGACAGACATGTAGCGCAAATGCCAGGTTTTGTTTACATTTTGTTTCGTTCACAACGTGTACATTTGGCTCATTCCTGAAGGGGTTAAGGGGTTAACCAATGCTGGTATAGATATCAGTGAAAACTCGGATAACAGCAGCAGACTAACAGTTACTATTATACCACCAATGCAGGTATATAGTACTATGATCTCTAGATGGTCAGTTATGTTAGTGAAAAGTCCAAGATATATGTATTCAAAATTCCATATTTATTGAAAGGGAAATTAAAATTAGAACACACTCACAAGTTGGAAGTGTAAAGTCCCAGCAATTGAGTCCTTGTTTGGAACGAAAGTCGGGTGATGGTCAGTAATCTGAGGGAGAGCTTTCTCCGGCCGATAAGATGATCTTACTGTGTTCAGGGAGGTGAGACACCTCTCGCGTGCGTTCCACTCAGTGCGCCCGATTTGCGTTCCACCGTTGCTCGGTAGCTGGATCGATGTATGGCAATTGCCGAAAAAGCTGCCTTACGCGTTTCGTGACAATGCACAGTCACTTCTTCAGAGGCGGATGAACTTCTGATGCTGCTGTTCCATTTTATATAGTAGTCACTAGCAGCTCTATTAATTATCAGCTGCTCAAATAATGCAATAAAACGTCAGTTACAAGACACAGAAATGGTACTAAATAGATAAATAAATGTCCACATTCTGCATGGGAAGTTCATTATAAAACACATGAACAGTAATAAATAGATAATTATCCACATTTTAAAATTGTTCACAAAAAACAATTCACCTTTAGAACATACCATATTTGATTACTTTATTATGTATTTATTCTTACATTTAAATATGCCGGTTTAAAAAAAATATCAAGAAAAACAACTCATCAATCAAAAGGTTGAAATGGTTTCTTTCTAGCCCATCATGAATGAAAATTATATAAAGAATACCCCAAAAAGGAGTAAAAGCCTGGACTAAGGAAGAATGATCGTATCAGACCTTATAAGGATACTAATTATTACTATAACGAAAATAGTTGAATTGATAGTACCAATGATGTTTCTATTTTCTGCTTGGTGCTCCGTGTATCACCCTTTCATTAGTGGGTAGAATAAGAAGAGAGTTATATATAAATTAAATCGAATTATAGAAAGAGAATGCAGAAGGAAATACAGAAGAAATAGGGAAAAATTATGATAATTGTATGCACCTAACATGGATACATAAATGTTAGGAATAAGAAGCCCTCATTTTGTCATTCGAGAAATAAAAAATAAAAAAATACTCGCAAGTATAATAGTTGTGTTAAAAGAAATAGATTTACATAAAATTGGAAAAAAATGGAATAAGTAAATGAAAATAGAAATACAAATAAAATAAAAATAAAAATAAATCAAAATAAAAATAAATATAAAAATAAAAATAATAATAATAAAAACAAATATAAAAATAATAAAAATAATAATAATAATAAAAAATGAAAAAATGATAAATTGAGATAAAAAAATAGTAAATATAAATAAAAATAAAAAATAAAATAAAAATAAAATGAAAATGAAAATAAAAATAAAAGCTGTACCCCTAAAAAAACAAAACGGAAAGTGAAAAGCAGGAGGCATAAAGAAATGATACCACTAGTGGCATAAATAACAAATAGCAATGATACCAATAGGGAGAGGTAGCAAATGGGTTATTGAAGAGGGACATAGCTTAGCATAATCTAAAAAGACTTGTGTGGTGGAACAAAGATGACTCATCTGAGCAAAAAAACATCTTCAAATATAAAACATCTTAAAATGAATCAGGAACATTAAATATAGAGCAAATAGTAAAAGGATGATG